TCTCCATTTTCCCTCTCTGGAAACTGGAAATACCTCAAAACAAGACAGGACTAAGGCCTTATACTAGTAGATAGGACTTAACCTATATAGTAGGGCGGGCTCAGAAGGGAGAATTGTTGACAAACGAGAACTGATAACGAAGTTAGCGCCTGTTTGGAATTGTTACCACAAAAAGAGACGCAAGCAATGAGCAATTTCAAGCATTATTTAACGCTAAAAACTGGTGAACAATTATATTAATAAATTTAAAAGCACTTAGATTTGATTTAGTTTAGATGAAAGAAGGATACTTATCTCAAAATTCCATGGTTTCTTCGTGTATTCTCCCAGTGTCCACTCTATCACTCTCATTAACATCGGAGCTAAATTAGGGAAAGAAGAGTTTAAAGCTTTCGCTGCGGAGTTAGATCTAACCGTTGCGAAAGATGTGAAAATTGTTATTTTAAAAACTTTTATAAAGAAATAATAAAGTTTTGAAAACTTATCAAGAGTTAGTAAAAGCGTAGTTGATTACGCGCTTAAGCAAGGGGAAAAAACTCAAAGCCAAAAACAAGTCACAAATTGCGTTACAAAAACTTGAAAACGAAACAAAGGTAGAGTTAGATCAAATCAAACTAGCGCAGTTGGAGAAAGAACTTCAAATCGCGAATATCAAATCGAGTTGTCCCAAAATACGCCGTCTTCCACAGTAAAGCCATCAAAAGACAGCCATCAAAGACCTAATCCCTGATATCTTAGTTGATGAATTTGAGAATGCTGAAAAGACACTTTGTAGGTTTGGAACAGAAAGAATCATTTACATGCATAAAAGACTCTACTGTTCGTGCTTTGAGACTAATCGTAGACGAAATGGAATTTTCAGAGCGAAAACGGACGTCCTACAGCGTTAAGATGAAGAAAATTTCCAATATCCTCTCATTTTACCTTTAAACACCCTCTTGTTTAGAGACTAATTTATGAGACACATGTAGAACTCCAGCATGCTGTTGTCAGCATTTTAATGGAAAATTTTAGAGAAAAATTTTGGATATAAAATCCAGAAAAACTGTTCGAAATATTATCAAATATTATCAGGAAATGTGTAAGATGTAAAAGATTTGCTACACAAAGAGTAGTAGTCGAGCCAGGATTTCCATCCGAATTCAAACTTAGAGAAAGGGCCGTTTTTGAAGTCGTCGATGTAGATCTAGCAGATCCTCTCTATCTCCGTGATGGATCTAAAGCTTGGATAGTCTAGATTCATTGCTAGAAGAGGTAGACCTTATGCAATATATTCCAACAACGGAACTAATTTGGTACGGACTAACAGTGTTCTTAAGAAAGTGAAGTAGAACGCCATATGTTCAGCTGTTTCTATTTAAAGGACACGATGAAAATTCAAACCTCCGACTGCTACCTGGCGGGAGAGGCTTGTGCGAATGATGAAAGAAAATTTTTAAGAAGAATATAAGGCCGAACTTTCTTAAATTACGAAGAGTTATATATTATATTATGTGACTGTGAACAAATGATTAATACACGACATATCACATACGTATCAGAAGATAATCAAGATCCTTCACCATTGACCCCTGTGATGTTCCTCCATGAATTGGCGTCATCAGGAGTTCCTGATATTGACTGCGTAGACTACCAAGAACTAAACCGCTGATCCAAATATCGACAGAGAATAAGACGTGATCTAAGAAACATAGATTTCGTAGTGAATATCTTGGTCAGTTGAGACAACATGCGATAAAGAGGGAAAATATCAACAGTGTCAAGTAGGCGATGTCGTTCTGTTGGAAGATAGCCAGAGACGCCGCACTCATTAGTGTTTAGCCAACATAATCGAGCTTTTTCCCAGTATAGACGGAAAAGTTAGACTAACGAGGGTCAAGATCAGAAATGAACTCTGCTTCCTCCAGTGGCCCGGCTTTCCCCGTCGGAGATCTCTATTCCCGAATCTGCTGGTCCTCTGTTCCACGGCAGAACATCTCGAGATAGAAACAACCCTACGACTGGTCAGGCTGATTGTGTTTCAGAACCTGCTTCAAGTCCTCACGTGATAACCAGAGCTGGAAGAGTTGTTGGTCTCCCTCATCGACTGGACCTGTGTGTATTGAGTTCCTCCGTACCGTCGGACCTCAATGGTGGGAGGAGATGTTACATCTAAACTCTGGACTGTCAGCGCCGTTACATCTAAAATCTAGAATAATCAAAACAAAAACGTACATAGAACTCTGATTTGCATTTAGCTAGAACCAGAACAAGAACTAGAAAGATTGTATGAAGGAAAGAGCGTAATGTTCATGTGACTTATTTATAAAATATATTTTTTTTTTTTGAAGGGTTTTTTATTTACGAATGATGAAAGAATTGCGTTTTTTTTTTTTTGTACTTGTTAACTTTGTAGTTTCATTCTTTTAGAAATGGATTTAGGCAACAGCTTTTCACTCAGTTGTAAACTGGACTGCTGACTTTTGAAAATCAGCACTGTTACCATTTGGGAAAATGAGGGCGATAATTCTTTGCAGCTTTTAAATTTAATGTTTCTATTGGATACTGTACGTTTGTTGAGAGAAGGCAACGGGAAATTGGTTAATTTATTTATTAGGATAATTAATTTTTGTATTAAGGGTATGCTTATTTAATTGTAATTTTGTTATATATAATAAATTAAAAAAAAAATTAATGAAGTAGTTCTGCAGAGTGAAATTCTGCGCAGTTTTTAAATTTAACTTTTGGTGTTTGTTCCCTTCAGGCATTTTTCCGGTACGTTTAAAAGCCAGACGAAGGCTGGCCGCGTAGCTGCTAGTTGTATATAAATGTAATATATTCTTCCTTTATATTTACTAGAAATGGCAGTCGTTTGAGAACGACGATGAGGATTAAATTTGCGAGCATAACATGTTACTTTTTGATTTTAACTTGAAATCCTAATCTTTTTAGTTTTATTTGATGTTGAATTTTATTTAAGTTTTTTTATGAAATGTTTTTATGTACATAAATTAAAAAATGATGTTTTTGTATTAAGTTGGTAATTCCTAAGACACGAATTCCCACAACACGGTATTTTCAAGGAACGTATGTATCTACCGCGTTGTAGGAGGTTTACCTATATTTTGTTAGGTTTTAAGCCAGTTACATATGTCAGATTAGCTCCTAACGAGCCGCTCGTCCGGGCGTTTCGATCCGAGTGATCGGATCTGTACTCTGATAGATTGTACCACTACAGGACACATCTTTGATACACCTGGTGGAGCTTTCCATCGAGTTTTCTGGCATTCCTGCTGCTTGCGACCTTGCAGAAGGCTATATTATGTTTAATAAATCTTTCCAGGCATATTAATTGTGGGGGGGGCAATGTATGAAACTTAGCTACTTCAGAACTAAATTTTGGCTTCGTATATACTGTCAGGCCTGTTTTAAGCTCCTAGTGAAATAAACACTGAATTCAGAAGAAAGTAAAAAATAAAACATTTTTATTAAGTGCTTCAGCTTATCAAAACTACAAACTCTTATAGTAACAAAACAAGACCCGCTCCTTGCGGGATGAACAGATTACAAAGGTTAAAATTAATTTAAGCAATTAAAGTAGAAATTCACAAGGCAAAGCCCTACTGAAAAGGCTGGCTGAGGCTTTAGTACCCCCACGGGGGTCGACGTAGAGAATTCTGCGAAGCTACTGTCTAGGATCTGTACCTAGGCAATCTCGGCCACGGAGGTATAAAATTTATGAACTTGGTGGTTCTGAAGGCCCTGGGAAAGCTCACTTATTGGCCGGCCTCGGGGGCTGGCATGTCCTGAGCGGTGTGGAACCGTAGCCGGAGGGTTAGTTCCCCTCGGTTTGCTGGGTAACGGCCCACTGCAACGGGCTCGCCCATGCGACTAGCAGGAGCAATTGACGACCAGTGCTGTCTGGTGTCTTATCCAAGTGGTGCGCTGCTTCCCTGGAAGGGTAATAGTGGAGGTTGAACCTGCACGAAGTGCTCAAAGGGGGAGTGGACCCGTAGTGTGATTTAGTTCACGGGGCGGGGCAGCCAAGATTGTTGTTGTTGTTGTTGAGGCTCTAGTAATCACAAGAGCGAATACAGCTAACAATGTCATAAATAGTCAAATCCCAAACCGGGTAAATCTAGAAACTGGGCGAAAATAGTTTACAGACATTCACCTCTCTTTTAACTTCAAAAACTCTGTTTTTGTACGCGTTACCTAATTTGCATCCTGGTGAGAGCCAAGAAAAGTAAAACTGACAGAAAAGATAAAAATAATTAGGTAATGGATTAATAATTATAAAACCCTATAACTTAACAATTAAAATTGCCAAAAGTATCAATTTCATGTAAAAGCTCTTGCTCAATTTTTATTTCCGTTGCTATAATTTAGCTTGCCGTCTTCGCAAGTGATTAGTCACTGGAGAGTCAAGGTTTAGACAAGGCTTTGTTAATTTAGTCGTCTGCATCTGATTTAACTTGAACTTGTGTTATTAGCTGCTTGAATAACCTGAAGTTAGTCGAGTTTTAAGTCTGTTTACTTTTTATCGTCTGGGTAACTGTCAGGTCGACGCATTAAGAAGAAATTTTAATTTGGCTGTAGTAATTTAAATTAGATGTGAGACGGGACGAAAAGTCGTCTGATAGTCTTCTACATTTACTAAGTACCTAATTGAGACTTTTAAGATTATGATCGCCTGTAGTGCGATCATGCACGTGAAGGGAAGCTAAGTTAAACCAAATATTACGCAACCCACATTTTTTCTCAAATAAATATCGTTTCGATTATAAAACGTTTTTAACCGGAATAGAAATATAAATTATAGTCATATTTTGGCCTCTATACATATTAAATTCTAATTGCGCCAAGGAAGATCTGAAAAATATGACATCTTTAGTTGAATTCCGTGGCGTTCACATACGACGACATTTTCTATGGATCTGGCGATCTTTCTCGAGAGTTACTTATAATCTTCAGTTATTAATTCTTTTAATGTATTGAAATAAAATCATTCCAAACATCCATCTCATGTATCTTATAATTTATTGAAACAAGTATCAAATCGTCTGTAATAAGATGTGGTGGTGACCCAGGAATCCTTGCAATCGCCGGCGCCAGTCTTGTGAATTCGCACCCAGTCATCGCAATCCACCCTACCGTTGCCATTGCAGTCTGTTCCCCATTTCTCCATATAACCTAGGACGGTCTTTCCAGCACAGAATTTGTCGTTCAAACATTTCTTATAATCTGTAAATAAAAGGAAATTTATTTTAAGAAGCAATAGTCACAAAAGTGTTTACGGCGTGTCGTTCCGAATATTAGGTAAACTTATACTTTTGAATGTCTTAGAGGGCACACACACACACGCGAAAAAAAAAAAAAAAAAAAAAAAAAAAAAAAAAAAAAAAAAACTTGTATATAAAACAGTCTTGCATACTGTGCAATTCAAATAGTTCAGAAGCTTAAATACCGAGCAGAGAAATAAAACTAACTAACAAATGTGCTGTACAGAATTTTGTAAGGTGAACGACTTTCGCCTTGCATACGATCCAATATACTATTAAAAATAACATTTTGGAACTACATAAAGTGTTTCAATTGTTGGAAGATATTATCATAGTCTGTCGTTATCTTAATAAACAAGATGTGCAAATGTATAAAGGGTAGTGTATAGCTTGAGAAATACCTGCTGAAACTGTAGATGTAGAAGTGATAGATTTCTTCATGCAGGCAACCAGAGCTGTGGGCACATGCTTGCCAATATCTTAGTGAACTATGTAAGGCTGACGTTCTTAACTGCAGTGATATACCCTGTTTCAGTTGTTATGGTTCATCAGCGGCCGAGCACGAAATCACTGAATGCTGGTTGTTCGATCGGGGTTCCAATCCCAGCGAACGAGCTGGCTTCATGTGCGTTTTCGTGATTTTCCTCATGTGTAACGTGTATACGAGCCAGTTTCCCTCAGAAAGTCCTCCACGAAGGAATTCATCCCTTTAGGCAGATAGCCCTAGTGTGCTTTACCATGATCAAATAAAGCAAACCAAATCTTTCAGCTATTATGCAGAGGTGACAAACTTTTAGGAGAGATAGAGTACACCTAGACGATGAGAAATCACATAGGAATGCATGGTCGGAAACGCTTTCCTAGCGCGGTAGTGATGAGACAAAAGTCAAGAAAGAAAGGAAAAGTACAGGGTGAGAAAACACGTCTATTAGTCGCAGTACAACAAAAATATAAAAAACACAACATAAAGAGCCAACGCTTATCATCAGAGAAAAGTGTTCGAAATTACGACCTGCACCGTGATGTAAGAACCATGCGTCATGCATCTCCCATGAGATCTTCCATTCGTGGTGTAGATCTTTCATGCGCCAGAGAATTGAGGCCTGTATCACGGTACGGGGTCGTAATTTCGAACGACTTCTTTAATGTGTCGTCACTGCCGCGCCAGGAAAGCGTTTCCGACCATGCATTACTATGTGATTTCCCATCGTCTATGTGTAGTCTATCTTTCTTGAAAGTTTGTCACAGCTGTACTGATACACTCTGTATTATGCATGGTTTATTGTACAGAACAAGCACAGTCGAACTGCGGCTCTTCCGCAACTTAAATACAGATTTTCTTAATGAACAGTAGTTATATTTTTAAAGGCGAAACATATGTGTATTAGAAAAGTTTTTATACTGTTCAACATGTTTATCATGAACAGTATAAAACATGTTCAACATGAAAGGAATATTTAAAATTAGGCAAAAAGGCAACTTTAATTTGGAGTAGATTTCGAGTGAAAAATCTATCAAGTTCGAAAGCGGTCAGACACAGGTTCTTTTTCTTCAAAAGCGAAAATATCTTTGCAAACATTTTTGTGTCTGAAGAAGAGACTTGTATCTGATTGGTCTCGAAATCTATGTTTACTGTTATCATTATCATTTTTCTGCCAAAGTATAGGGAACTATGTCTTATTGCAAATTCTAAGATAAACAAAGGTTGTTTTTTCCCTCTAATTTAAAATTTTACATTGGTGTATTTCTCTTCAGACATGGCATGAATAATCTTTGGCACTTTAGGAAAGAGTCTACTTCACCCTGAAATGCAATCAAATTTAGAGATATCGGATTAGGTAATCAAAGCAGTGCATAGAAGCGTAAAGAAAAGCACGAAGAAAAAATGATATTAGGAAAGATTTTGTTCGTTATAGAAAATGGTCACGTGTTATGTCAGAACCCTGTTTTAACTCAAAAAACAAGTAATGCCACATTTATGTTTAAATTCAGAATTAAAAACAGATATCACGATAGTCTTAGACAAGCGACTAAAGGTGCTGAAGATATATATTTAAAAAAGAATGAGAATAATATTGTAAAAAGCAGTTGAGTATTGCACAGAATAAGTTTTTGCTCCTGGCACAATTACAGTCAAAATCGTTTGTTTCTTCTTGTTCATTTAATGAAAAGAGAACTAACTAGTTGAACTTCTTATTTCTCCCGCTGTAGCATTTACTTTTTATAAGTACAAATCAGACTTAACAAAGAGTGAACGAAACTGAAACTGCCAATTGTTTAACCCTTTGTACTCGAGAGATGACTTTCGGTAACCACTGATGCGGTAACTCGAGAGGTGGAGAGGTGTGTCTCGATTATCACTCTGTTTCGTGAGACGATTCGAGCGGTAACGATGTTTATTTAGATTTGGTTTGAGCAACATTGTTTCATGAGTGTATTCAACAATGCGTGCCTATAAAATGTCTGCCAATCTTTAAGCTTAAATACGTTTTTACTTCCTTGTACGAAGTAAAGAAGGTATTGTAATCACGAAAACTTCCAGGTGCCATATTTCAAAGGAAATATCCATTTTGACGGCTATCGAATGCAATTTAACGATGTTTTTGCGTGACTTCTGCACGTATGGACAGAATAAATAATCTTTTTCCCCAAACGGAATTATAAAACCGATTTCAAATCGATTCAGAAAAGATTTTTCGTGCCGTCTGTACGTACGTATTATATATCTGGCATAAATCAAAAACGAATAGCCTCTGAACGTTGAAATTTGTAGGTGGGGCTGCTATAAAATGTAGATGGCACTCTCTTTTGGTAATCGGCTGCACCAAAGTATATAAAATATCTGTATATGTGTATGATCTTAAATTCACTTCGAAAACAAGTTTTTCTAATACTTGCACAATAGCGCAAAGTAATAATAATTATTTACTAAAGAAATATGATTATATTTATAATATAAATAGTAGAAGCATAAAAAAAGAGTGAACCCATATGTAGAAGTTTAATTCAAAAGTGTTTTAAAGTAACTTGAATGTAAATATTAAAAATTTTACGGGGACGATTAAATCATGAATGACAAAATTTCAAAACTTTGAAAAAGAAAAAAATTAAAAGCAAGTAATTATCGCTATGTCGGAAATTAGTTGACTTTTCAAGGGGATCAAACCAAAACTTCCGTCAATGAACAATAATTAATAAATAAGAAGGTGTTCGTCTTTACTCAAGTAAGAATGGTGACGCAAATGGCAAATTAAGTGAGGCCTATAGTCCGTGAAGTGAGGGATTTAGAACCAAAGAGAGTACCAAAGAACCATTCTGAATTAAGCATTTTCGCTAATACAAATTTTGAGTGAAAAAGCCAATTATGTAGTAAATTTATAAAATACTTAAGAAATGTCCCCCGACACCTTCGCTTTTATGCGTTAATTAAAAAACTATTTGTATAAAAATTAAAAGTGGTAATCGTAATGGTGTGGTGTTGGTGTATTAATAATGGCAAAGCACACGAGGCTATCCTAAGGGGAGGGATGCCTTTCGTGTAGGACTTTGTAAGGCAAAACTGGCTCGTATACACGTTAACATGGGAAACACGAAAAACGCCCATGCAGCCAGCCGTTCGCGGGATTCGAACCTCGGACCGAACTACCAGTGCTCAGCGACTTTACCGCTCGGCCGCTGGTCGGCGTAATCGTAATTGGAATTATGAAATAGAACTCGAAGCAATTCAAATAAACATTAGAAAAGTAAGAAAAATAATGCTATCTTTGCAAAAACAAATCAAATAACAAAAATTGAATAATAAAAATTGAAAAAATTAATATATATATAATAAGAAAAAATTTGAAATCTACATGAACATATAAACGGCCAGAAAATGCATTAAGTGTTCTTTCTAGTGGGATGTCGGTAAAGTGTTTTCTTCGGTGTCTTGCTCAGAAGGGGTGTGTGTGCGAAATTCCGGTTATCGGCAGCGGGGATACTTTGAATTATTTCAGTCGGCGAAACTTGTGAGAAGTAATTTATGGGACATGGCAGGGACTAGGAATGCTTGAGGGACATTTGTTGCGGAGGTCTTATGCGAGTGAAAACGTCTGATAAAGTTTTGAATATACTAACTAGTGAATGGAAATTAATTAATTTCTGGCTAATTGTCGTGTCGCAATGATTAGAATTTAAGAAAGGAAAAAAGGAATTTTTCACTGTCCAAGAGCTATTAGACAGACTAAAGTCATGAAATAGGCCAGCATAAGAAATAGTAACAGCATGAGTCTGAAGACAAATTAGCTTTTTTACAATATATACAATTGAGTAATTACATATACAATCCTTCAACTGATAGTCATCCAACTTATACCGCCTTCTCAGGTTTAGGAACAAATTATCATATCCCTATCAGTTACATGATTTAGAGTGAGTATTTAACGCCTGCTCTTTTAAGGCAATGGTTGAATAATCGAATGGGTATTATATTATTTTTGAGAATTTTAATAAGGAGCAAAATTTCGCGTTGTAAATCTATTGTATCTGTGCCATATATTTTAATTCGTTGTATTTGATTATTATGAATTACTTACATTTTTTGGATATGTTGGAGTTCCAATTTATTAATTTTGTTAGTACTGAAATTGAAGTTTCTTGTTTTGTCAAAAAGTAAAATTTTTTTTAGTTAATGATTTGAAGATCTAGAAAGTCTATGCTATTTTTGAATTATTAGTTTTATTAAGTGTAAGGCGGATAAATCTCGGAGTGTTCAATTTTATCAAAATTATTAATTGTAATAAGGTCATCTAATATATCTGTAGTGTGTTTGTAGTAATTAACTCTTGTGTTGTAGATTTTTTTTTTTTTTTTTTTTTTTTTTGAAGTTAAATTCTTTGATAAATAAAAAGAGATTACAGATCGAGGTACTGGAATGTGAAGCCCATTGGAAGTCCTCTGACTTGTTTAAAATGTTGATTTTGAAATTTGATGTAGTTATGAAAAAGGGTGCATTTTAGGTAGGTTTTCCCATTTACTAAGATTCATGAATCGTGAGCATATCAGGGAAGAGTTTAGGCAGATCTAAGTAGACTAGTATAGATTTCTTCTAAAGGAACTGAGGTATATAAGTTTTCAAAGTCATAGCAGTTAATGTTTTGTATGTCAACTGTTTGAATCGCATTAGTGACAGGAGTGTTATTATGGATGATCCAGCAATAGTTATGATTAGTGTTACAATCATTGAAAATAAATTTACAGATTTTATTAAGTTGAATTGAAAAATAATAGTCTACATTTTCTGTAATTTATTAGTTCCCATTAGCAATAAATCTGAATTTTAATTGTGTTTTATGGAATTTGGGAATCGCATAAAGATTAGTAAATCTGTTGTTTTGCATTGGATTAAAGTAGATATTGAGTTTTTTTATGAAAAGTTTTAAACCTGTTTATTATAGATGTTTCTGTAAGGTTTGGCTAATTGATAAGTAGTCGCGTTGAGAAGTTCTTTATGAATAATTTCTGCGTAAAATTGTTTTTCATATAATGCTAAAGTTATTAGTTGCTTTAACTATTTTTTGTAATAGTAAAGATTTTTTTAAAAAAAATTTAATATCTGATGTAAGTTGCGACCAATTCAGTGTACTTTTAAACTTGAGGTGACTGATTTCGGTGGATATGCGTTGAAGTATTTGCATCTTTCCATTTTAAAAAAGGTTATCTATAGGTAAATTCAGTTGATAGCTTGCTTTAACTATAACTTTGTTGATGATGTTGCTTTCGAAAGTCTTGTTAACAGAATTTTTAGTTATGTGTTCTGACTGGTCTAAATTTGTACTCATAAACTCATTAGTGTTTTTAAGTTGATGGTTTGTATGATATTCAGGTTGCCAGTAATTATGTGCTGATGATGAGAATCCAAGTATTGCACTGTAAATTGGTAATTACAATATCATTCTGCTGTTTCATCTATTTCATGGTGGTTAGTCAGCAAGTTGCTTAAGGTCCTTTGATATTTAAATGCAACTATTGGTATATGTGTCTACAGCTGGGAAGTAAACTTTACAATTCGTTGAAGATTCTAGAGAATCGAATATTGTCAAACTTGCGGATGCAGAAAATTGACTTAAATAAAATAAATTTTGCGTTGAGAGCCAGACTATTAGAGAGTCCGAAAAAACTAAAATCGAGAATCATGTCTTTAATGATTTGTGTTTCGTCGTAGTTTCATTGAATGAATTTTTTTCGGTTTGATAAGGAATTTATTAGTACAGAGTGTAACCAGTTGAAGAATTTCTTGGGGAAGTTTTCTGAGTTTAAAAAAAAAAAAAAAAAAAAAAAAAAAAAACATTTCAATTGTTTTTTAGTGTAAATTGTATCCAAAGTGGGGTAAAAATCTTGTATTATTTATTTTGCTTCCTCTTTTGCCTCTGTGCGTTTTGTTGGCTGTAAAGCTTTAAAATTGGCTGAAAATAGATTTATTGGAAGGATCTCTGTGACTATGTAATATAAGTGTTAAGTCCATAAGGATAAAGTGAACGTTGTTTTAGTATATAGAGTGATTCCTGAAAAATTCTTTCTTTGTGATTGGGTATTATGTCTAAGATCTGAAGTTGAATAGAGTTGAAGTCATGGGTTTAAAGTGTACTAATTCTATGTATTGATCTGTGAAGGTTTGAAGCTCTATGGTTATTGATTCGAAAGTTAGCGTTTTAGTTTGTCCCATATATTAATATGTCAGGTGCTGCAGGTAATATGTAAATACGGTAAGTTTTCATTATATATATCCCTCTTTACGGCACCGTGAGCTCGGTTTCTTTATTCTTATATGTTGCAAATGTGCATTTTTTGCTTTAAAAATGATTGAATTATGTTGTTCTTATCTTCCGGTTAAGGTTTTTGTACCTTTAGTTAACCTGCATGTTATAGCTGTAGAATTATCAACAATTTAAAAGATGCTTAATACGGCTAAGCCTAATTTTTTTACCATGTTTACATTTGAAACTCAGCAGAATAGTGGATTTGTTCCTAATCTACAGAAACTAAGCTTCGAAGCAACAAAAAAACTTCTTCTTTTATTTTTGCGAATTAAACTACGCTTAATTTATTCTGGAATTATCATTATTAAGTTATTAAATTTATCCCATATATTGACTCAGCGCCTACAACAAATTAAGTCAGTTTCTACGCCTTCAGTGTCTTTTTGCCGAGTGAGACCAAAAGTAAACTTTCGGTTTTGTGCACCGAAAAATCTGCCTTCTTGCCCGCTGGCACTTACTTGTTTTTTGCGTAGAAACTGTAATTTGAATTGTAAAAAAATATTTTTAGTTGTTTTAATTGTATTTGGTGTTTTATATTTTTCTATATCTTTCAATTTTATATAGATATTTTGAATTTTTATATATTTTTGCCTTGCGCGAAATGAGAACTGAATTAATTGAATGAGAAATATATCTTTAATGAAATCCGAGGAAATACGTTTAAATGAAATACAGGAAAAAATACGTAATGTTATGTAATGTATTCACTAGGCATATTTTATAGCATTATTTGTGAAAGATGTCATTACAAACAAACAATGATCTCTTGCTTTCTTCTAGCAACCCTTTATTCTCAGAATAGTTCTGAAATTTATTTGGTCAACTGATCTTGTTTTTTAGAAGTCATGTTAGATGAAACAGTGTAATTTAAATAGCGGCGGATACACGCGGAAAGTACACCGTTCTCCTCTTCTGGAATACAGTCTTTGGTACTAAGAACATTTCCTGAACATTAAGAAGAACATTCCCCTTTATTATTAAAAATCTTAAACGAACAGAAATGTGAGCATAAAAATTTAAATATGCATTTTTTTAATGTTAAGGCTGCTTTCTATTTAAAATAAAAGTAACTTGATGTTTATACAACATAGAAAAATAACCACGAGTATTGAAAAATAACTACACATCATATAAAAAGTATGAAAATATGCAAAAGTGAAAATTTACCATCAGAGTCGTCAGGATCTTCGCCAAGCCTACCAGCATCATCCCAATAATTGTAGGAAATATGGTAAGGGCCACAATAGTAATCGCTTACTGCCATGTAAACACAACCTAAAGTCATATTGCACCCACTTGCAGCCTTAAAAATAAAATTGCCCTCATGAAATATTTGTAGGCAGAGACTAAGTACAAATATGCAATGTCATAGTTACATGTTCAATTTTTTAAGACTGATTGCATGAAAGAAAATAAAAGCTTTACTCGTAAAATGTGGCTACATCTTTAATTATTATTGATTTTAGACACATATCAATAACGAAATTTCTCAAAATAAGATTTTGAAACCAGTTTTGACTTTATGAGAAAATGATTACTGACCTACTGACGTATTAAAATTGGGAATTTTATACCGTCTCTCAGAACAAACACCTGAAAAATGAAAACGTTCATTGTATTTTAATGTTCAAAAAATATTTTATATTATTAAGTTCAAAATTCATGGAGATATTCTAGAACGAATTCTCTCAGGGACTCATTTTTTGTGACTATGGCTTTCGCGAATGACATTCAGGAGGTAACTTAGCAGCCTTACCTCCTCCTTATTTTACGGCATTTTTTTCTCCACTTTCCTTGTGGTGTCGTTTAAAAAATGATAGACCCTCTCAAGATGCGTTTAACTGCGATAGTGGAGTAATTATACTGAAATCTCTTACTGAATTAGTAAATTTCTAGTAAACTTCAGCGTGTTTCGTGAAGAATTTGAGAATGTTAGGGCCTTAAAATGTTTCCCCGAGCGAGAGAACTTAGACATGATTAAAAAGTGAAATGCACAGTATCAATAAAAACAAGGTAGATCCGGGACAAGTCAGGAGAGGGACTTCGAAAGGCACTGGTCGGAGTCTTGGCAAAGAGAGAATTCGTACGATATTCGGAAAGAAGCAGTTCTGTTCAGCCGACGATGAATGGGGACACTTGGTTTTTGATTATTGAACTGAGAGAGCTGAGTTGGCTTATGATCACATGCGCATGAAAGAGGAATCAGGCGAGATACCATAAATTGGCAAACTAATTAATAAATCAGATGGGATATTATGGTACAAAGGCTAGGAATTCAGTTGCTTAATTAAAAAATGAGGATCACTCAGGGATTCACTTTATTGGTGAGACCAGGTCTCACGATGCCGAGGGACCCAGTGATCTTTTCTTTTTCCCTTTTACTCCCTTCTACTTTTTCTTTTTTCCCCCCTAGTGTAAGCTTCCTAGTGTAGTTTCCCTTCTTGGAGGTTAAAGCGCTGTGGAGTGTCTGTTAGAAACCTTTTTGTCTTTGGCTTCTCATGGAGAGAAAACTGCCTATGCATTTGCTTGAGGACACACTCGTAAAGCTGGAAAGGATGATCTTAGCAGTTGAGTGGGGAGGTACGTTTTCAATACATTACTTTATCCTCTGCTTCAGAGTGAAACGGAAGACATTTAGCTGCTCACTGCAGTGTCAATCAGCTGGTCACCAGTCTTTGTTTTGGAGGCTTGAGGATAAATGACCGGGCGTTCCTAATTTTCGGAAAGCGGATCGTGGGGCTTCAATGGGCATATAGGCTCGGCTATCCGGGGCGCAGGTATTAACATCCCTAGTTGGAATCGTGTTGGTTAAGACTCTCAAATATGGAGTCTATAATCTACCAAGTTCTGATGAAAATGCCTCTATCCCAAAGCAAGTAAAGATAAATGTAAATACAAAGGGAAATAAAAATCCACCATGATTCCTTGTTATCAGTAACACAAAAGTAAGTGTCAGTATTCCTCATACAGAAATATATTATTACGGATTTAGTATTTAAATAGCTAAATGTTAGTAAAATTATAAATTAAATTGTTTTATTTTATATAGAGATGTGACTATAGAGGATGTGAGAAATTTCAACAGCAGAAAGTGACTCCCAAAGCTAAAACGTTCAATGAACGTATAGTGACGAATAAATCATATGCTCAGGCATTAACTACGGGACTCGCTCCGGAAGCTATGAAAATAATGACAGAGGCCAAACAAATGTTCCAACAACTAAGTATGGCATTTTTCCTATCTTGTTGTTTGCGGTTTTGCAGCTGAGATGGTGGTTCGGTTAAAACCCATCGAACTAGTCTGTGAAAATTTTGTAAATATACGCTGATTTTTTGTGTTTGACTTCTGAATTAGTATTTATTCGGCGTGTTATTGTGTCTTAACTGTAACTAACTGTTCAAATTACTTCAAAATCAAGACTTTCCCACTTAATTAGTGTCTATTAAATAATGATCACGATAGTATCTACTTTCAGTGACACCAAACTCAAGCAGCAAGCGTCTGAGCCTCATCTTAGTTTACGAGCTCTTCTTCCCGTGCCTTGTATTTATCTCCTGACGTATTTGGACTAATATGCATATGTAAATAATTTAGAAGACTTATTTATATAATTAATTTTACTATTTCTACGTTCAATATGTTTTGTATGTATTTAATTGCAATTTTAGCGAGGTATTCCTCAGAGACTCGCAACCAATGATAAGTCAGCTTGCAGCCCACGTGACAACTGGTCACGCCCTTCGCCATTAGCTCTGCCCTTCTGGACTCACACTTCGAACTTATTCTCTTTTCCGCGCCCAAAGAGCAAACATCTCATGACAGCGGAACACACAAGCAGATGCTTGATAATCTCGGCATAAGTGTAACTTGGAACTTGGAACTTCAGTTCGTTAGTCAGTTAGTTATTTTATGAGTTTTGTTTAGAAAACTGCTGTTGTGAATTCGCGGTGAAATCGGATTAGCTTTCTATGTTTTGAATTCAGTTCTATTGAACGTTTGAGTAGTTAAAAAGATAACTACTGTAAGATATCGCAATATTGTACGCATATCTGTGGAAATTTAAGTATTTTGTTTTATTTCTTGAGATAATAATAAATTTTTATTCACTTTTATCGGAATATTTTATGCCGTTATAGACCCGTTATGAGGGATGACAAATCCACCACTAAAGTGAGGATGATCTTCGATGCTTCTTCAAAAGAAAATCAGTTTAAATCTTTAAATGATTGTTTATGGCCAGGGCCAAATTTAAAGCAGCCATTTTTAGATATTATTATCAATTTTCGAAAACATGAAGTCGCATTCTATGCGGATCTAGAGAAGGCTTTTCTCCAAATGGCTTAACACCAGAAGACCAAAATTATCTAAAATTTTTGTGGTTTGATGATATGGCAGTTGACTCATTCAAAATTCTAAGATTTACGCGCGTACCATTCGATGTACTTGTAGCCCTTTAGTTAGCTGCTACTATCAAATATCATATTCAGAATTCGAAAGAATATTTTAAAGTTTATGAAATGTAGACATATGCCTGTATGTTGATGATTTAATTTCCGGTTCAAACTCAGATGAAGAGGCGTACTATTTATCTCCTACTGCCGTTAAAACTATTAAAGTTTCTGGGATGCATTTGTGGAAATTTAATTCTAATTCTAAGAAACTAAAAGAATCGTGAAAGGAAATATGTTATGCAAGGAACCAGAAGATTCTGATCTCCATTTGGAAGTTTTAGGAATATTATGGAATACCGATTCTGATACCTTTCAACTGGATGCTCAGCCTCTAATAGATAACCTAGAGAATGTCAAACCTACAAAGCGTTGTGTTTTAATAGGGTTTATATCCCCATTCACCATACGAATTAAAAGCTTATTGCAAGAATTTGTAAAAGAGGTTTGGTCTGGAATGATGAGTTACCTCTAGGTTTAGAAAATGAATGGAAGGATTGGTACTCTGAAACGGAACATCTTAAGATGTTAGAGATACCTAGAAAATATTTCGGTACTTTTCCGTTTTGCCGGCGCAGGCGATAAAGTCGCCAATAATGGTACAACTGATGCCATACGGAATATCCTCGCTGGTAACCTTTTACACCACATTTTCAAAACAAGTTGCAGCCATTTCTTAGCAGATTGATTGTTTCCTTCAATACCGGCATAAAATTACACAGAATTTTTACCAGATAGTTCAATTTTATGCCCTAAGGCCACTCGCGGTAATTAGTCAATTAAGATGTCATCACACGCTCCACCGCCAGCGAAATATAGAAAAAGCGAAGTCAAGGGTTCAATTATCAATTCTAATGGAATGCACTAGCGAAGTAAAGCACTGCCGTTTACATAAGCTTCGTACGAATTGAAGTAATTTTGCATTTAAAACAGTATTCCAAATTAAGCTTAACTTGAATTAATGTAGATAATTACTGAGAAAATTAGATTTTGTAGCGTAGTTTACGTGAGATGAGATCACTTGGGGTCACGTAATCGAACCGGCGACGAATCAGGATGTTGAAACTATGAAAGCATCGTAAATTCTTAAACTAATGTATTTTACAATTATTGCCTTTTTATTGGCTTTTTACAAAATTTTTAAACGGTATTTAAATGTTTATGCCTTCAAAATTAAAAATTCTTAGAACTAACATTTGTTAACATTTTTTATGCGTATACTGTATGTTGTTGCCAATAAAGTCCGCTTGGCGAGATTTGCGCCGGCGAAACGGGAAAAGTACCAATATTTCCAACGAGAAATGTATTCAATAAATGATCAGGTACAAATCCACATTTTCCGTGATGCTAGTCCTAAGGCATTTGGTGCAGTAGCCTATTTTAGGTACTTCACTAAAAATAATGAAATTAAAATAAGCTTCATCTGGGCAAAAAGTAGAGTATCTCCTGTGAAACGAATTACGCTTCCCCGATTAGAATTAATGGGCGCCATAATTGCCAAAAAGATGTCTAAAACTTTAAAGATGGCACTAGACTTTCAAAATTCGAGATAAAGTTTTGGACAGACTCAACAACAACACTTAAAAAATAAAAGGATCTGCTATGAATTGGAAGCCCTTTGTTTCACACACTGTCAGAGAAATTCAAGCCCTTACTGATGCTGAAAATTGGAACTATTGTAGCGGAAAAGAAATTCCAGGTGATTTAGTGACGCGAGGTGAAAAGCTGATAAAACTTATAGGAAATAACATCTAGTGGCAAGGTCCAGTTTGGTTATCCCTTCAAGAACATTCATGGCCGTCAAAATTAGTAACTGAATTAAGCGAAGATGCGTTAATTGAATAAATGGTGAAACCTCAAAGTACTCAATTATGTTGCATCATAATACAGGAAGCAGTTTTAGATGTTGAAAAATTTAGCAGTCTCAAAAGAGTTTATCACATCACGGCATGGATAATGCGCTTTAAGCATAATTCGAATAAAAGAAACTCTAAGGTTTCCGGTCCATTGACAGCATCAGAACTGTAATGGATTAAATGTACTCAAAAATCGGCATTTAACATTGAAATAGACCAATTAAAATGTGGAAAATCTATCAGTAAGGAATCAAATTTATATAACCTTAATCCGGAATTAGAAGAAAATGGCTTGCTTGTGCTGAAAGGTAGACTTCAGTTCTCTGAATTTCAAGAACGAGAAAAACACCCATAAGTATTTCCAGACAAATAAAAATTTGTTAAGCTGTTGATTATGGATACACATGAGAGATTATATCATTTTGGAGTAGCTACCACATTATCGCATCTTCGAGAGAAATATTATTTTATCATCAAAGGAAGAAGACGAGTGAAATCTGTTCTAAAAACCCGCATAATTTGTAAAACATTTAATGCTGTTCCAGGTAAGGAAGTAATAGCACCACTGCCTAGAGATAGGATTATTGCAACTCCACCATTTGGAAACAACAGGCTTGGATTTTGTGGCACCGATTTATATCAAAAAGTCATCTGGTCCAGAAAAGGCTTATATTTTATTATTTACTTGCGCGGTAATCAGGGCTGTACATCTAGAATTGGTAACAAATTTGAACCCTGACACCTTTATTCTAGCTCCTCGAAGGTTCATTGCACGAAGAGGGCTTTGTAAAATAGTTTACAGCGATAACGTAAAAACATTTATCAAAGCTGATTCACTATTGAAAGAAATTTGAAAGAACATTTCAAAAGAAAATGTTCTAGATTATTTCTCAGAAAACAAAATAACATGGAAATTTATTGTGCCTAGAGCCTCTTGGTGGGGCGGCTTTTGGGAAAGGATAGTTCGCACTGTGAAGACATCACTAAAAAAAGGTTCTTGGAAGGACTTGTTTTACGTTTGAAGAAATATAAACGACACTGACTGAAATTGAGGCAGTTATCAACTCTCGACCATTGTCTACGAACAGACATCCAAACCAAAGCCTTTAACTCTAGCTCATTTTTTTAGTAGGAAAACAACTAACATCATTGCCTCATGGATTGAGTGTAACAATTGGATCTGAATCCAACAGAAGAATGCTTACAAAAATGTTGAAATATCGACAGCAAGCCATTAACCACTTTTGGAAACGATGGAGGAAAGAATATCTGTTGGAACTCCGTTTTGCATATTGAGTCACTCCATCAGAATCCTCATTATTTAAAGTTGGTGACGTAGTGCTGATCCATGACGAAAAGTTGCCGAAGTACCTTTGGAAGTATGGATGTATTAAAGAGCTGTGTTTAGGACGCGATTCAAAAGTTAGATCCTACGTGCTTCAAACACCAACAGGAATTATAAAGAGACCCATTCAATTACTATGAATTTGAACTTGACTAAATGGACTAATATTTGAATAATGGACAGGCCTAAATATTTTTTGCATGTTTTCATTTATTCATATAACTCATTTGTTATTTTTATTATTTTAGATTCCAGCCTTATTGTATTTTGAATTTGAATATTGTTTGCCTAGCGTATGTAAGTATAATTTAGTGCATTTTATTTTTATCCAAGAACTTGAATGCTTAATTTGAAATTAATAAATACTTCACGATTAATTTAGTTTTGGATTTTGAATTAATTATTTTCTTTTAATGATGGTGAACAATAGTGATTCTTCATCTGAAGGCAGTGTGTTGTGACTGCCGTTAGGTAGCGCTGAAGAGCATAACTAAATTTTGTAAACTTTTGTGGCAACTCTGTAGTTTCACTCTGTTCTGAAGAATTGTAGCAAGAACCGACTGAATCGGTAACAATGATTTGAACTCTCGTTTGAGAGTAATTTTGAATAGTTAAAATTTTGTAAATAAATTTTGTATATAGTTTTAGTCCGTGTGCTGATGTGTTCACATATTGTAGTGACTTTATTGAACCGTATCTTGTGCGGTAAGAATTATTAACCTGCACTGAAGCGGATTATCAGGGTAAATATTATCCTCAAGAAAATGACTATGAATATCCACGAAGAATCAATTAAAGAAGATTTTTTATCCCAAAATTTCTCTATGTCAAAAGTCGGACAATTCACAAGTTCTAAGAAAGAGATCATAAAAAAATTCTGATCTATTTTATTAAACTTAATCAGATTAATACAAAACAAAGAAATTTTTGAGAATGTAATATAATAAACAAAAAATTCATAAGAAGCTCTTCAAACCAAGAAACAGACTCACAGCAATGCTATAAATATTATAGTCACGGATTCGCAAAGCACTTATATTTCAACGAAACCAGGTGGAAGTGACGAATGGATTACGGCCTTTTAATAAAACATGAACATCACCTTACGCTTAAGCACCCCACGACAGCAGTTCCCGTGGGAGTCTGGAATATAATAAAGTTTCTCTAGACTAATAAAAGCTGAGAATAAACTGAACGGGGACAAAATCCCTACAAGTGTTTCGTTTCCAAACCATCTAAAATGACTAAAACTGAAGTTAGAAATTACAGCGAGAAGTTAAAAATAATTACCAAAATCCGAAAAGAACTTCAAGATGTTATGGACTGGCTCTCACACTAAAAACTTGTATGAAAATTAAAATCATATTCCTACTTCGGATTAGGATGAATTGGTTGCCTTACAGCGTTTGGAATATTTTCTGTTTTAATACATTTGAGAAAGATTGAAAACATTTAGTTGGTTCTTGTGCCAAAGGGAAAAAAACTATTTGTGAAAAAAAGAATTTTATCATAAGTTGGAAAAACATAGTACGTGGGCGTAAAAAAGAAATTAGATTTTTATTAGTTGCCGCAACTTATTCTTCTCATAAAATTTTGCGTATTACTCTGGTTCGAGCCGCATTACAAAATAAAAAATATTGCTGATTGTGCTATTAAACAAACATACAACTAATTATAAAAATCACACATCATAGTTTCTGAAGTTTCCTTATCAAATGTTTCTACTAAAATAAAATAATGAAATTATGTTTTTCACAACAAATTATATGCATGATTATTATTTTCAAACTTACCTCACATATGCACTCCAGACATTTCGCCGTTTTCCCAATTTTATCCTTCCCAGTCGGCTTTCCCTCTTCTGCAATAGTAATAAAGATTATAAGTAAATTCATAAGAGGTTTGGGGCTTTTTTCCTTCTAATAATATTTTTTAGTGAACTTTGTATTTGCTTTATAAGAAAACTATTTTTTTTTAATTATCTTATTGCCTCGTGCTTGAATATTTTTTGTTTTGAATAATTTAAAACTTCATAATTTTTTAGTTTAATGTGATTGTAATGAAGTTTTTTAAAGTATTTAATCCCGGGATCACGCAAATATATATGTACCTATGCAATAATGCAAGAGAACTCGCAACTTTACATGCGATTCTTGCAATAAGCGTAATTTACCCACATTCAAATGATGAAAACAGTAGAACCGAGGAAGTTATCAAAGCATCACATCAATTAAATGCAGAAATCATACTCCGCATCCAGGAGAAATGGTGCCACTAACACAACCAAACATAAATCAGAATAGGGCCCACCAGCGGCCGAGCGGTAAAGTCGCTGAACACTGGTAGTTCGGTCCGAGGTTCGAATCCCGCGAACGGGCTGGCTGCATGGGCGTTTTCGTGGTTTTCCCCATGTGTAACGTGTATACGAGCCAGTTTCCCTTAGAAAGTCCTCCACGAAAGGCATCCCTCCCCTTAGGCAGATAGCCCTCGTGTGCTTTGCCATAATTAAATACACCAACACCATAAATCAGAATACGAAGAAATGGCGAACATATCTGCACAGTGGTGAACGAAGACGGAAATCTCCATGCAAAACGAATCATAAATGACCCGCTATATCGATGATCTCAGCTAAGACTTCTGCCAAAAACAAATATCTGACCTTAAGCGATGATGACGAAATGGAGGCATCAATCAACCAAACACTGACAAAGACGGTTTCGAAAACCCCGAAAAGAAAAAGCAGATAGAATTCCGCCTATTGTACTAGTCGATGTTACTCAATAGAAAACACTTCATGACAGAATAAAAGATGCAGGAGCAGGAAGAATAGAAGAGAACATGAAAGGGGGGAGATTTACATATTAAAATCTATACACCCGATAAATATAGAACCATAACTACATAACTAAACAGGAAGATCTTATTTCTTCCATTTGCAAAAGGCAAGTTACATAGGGCTGCTATCAAAAAGTGCCATTTTTAGAAGATACTGAAACAGAAGTTACAAATGAGAACATACCAATTAAATCTAGAAGATAAACAACCATAAAATACGACTATGAAAATCAAACTTCTCCCCAAATTTCTGGTGTAAGTTGTAAAAATAGTTAAAGAGGAGCAAATATAGCAACTCACCCACAAAATAGACCTTGCAATATAGCCCACAAAATAGACGCAGAGCCATTCAAAACTAAGCTCGGTTCCAAAACGTGTCACAGCTGTCAGCGGCACGGCATAGTAAGTCCCATTGTTACTACGAAACAAGGTGTCTTAAATGCGGTCAAGACCGCGAAACTCCTAATTGTAAAAATCCCCCAAAACATAAAGAAAAGTACTCCCAAATTGAATTGACAAGCTACCAAAAGATGATGAATATCTTCCTTCTTTACCTAATACTAAAGTAGAAAAAGAAACAAACCTAAAATCTCAAAACATAAAGTCAAAAAAAAAAAAAAAAAAAAAAAAAAAATGCTACCAGTAATGACATGTGAAATTTCATCATCTGAATCAAAAACAGCTTTCTAATGTCAAAGTTACTTTTTGAAAGGTTCAAAAAATCAAAAAACCAACCTGGACAAAATCCAGACCGGATTGGAGGCTTTCCACCTTTTCATGAATTCTGAATATGGCGAAGAATAATGTCCTACGTAGAAACTACCATTTCTCGAATACGAAGCTTAAACATACGTAGCTTAACATCGCGTTTTTTAATGCGAAAAACATCAAAAGACAAGAAACTGAATTTCTGCATTATCTCATTCATGATCACATTGGCATATTGTTCACAAATGAAATTTTGAAGTTATTGTTCTTAGTCTATATGACAGATATAAAATAGCTGGATACAAAACTTCCCGAAAGACAGACTGCACAACAGAGGAGGAGGTGCCATTATGATTAAAAATCATCTTAAACCAACACTGCAGGACACAACAGGCAATACGTATATTGAACACACCGCTGCGATTGTTCACAGTGGAACTGGAGATTCGTATGTATTCATATTTACATAGTAGTCCTCCACGAAGGCATCCCTCCTCTTAGGCAGATAGCTCTCGAGGCTTTGCCATAATCACACACGCACACACACACATATTTACATAGAATTCTCCCATCAACCGATTAACATACAGACTTAAACTGTATCACATATAACAATCTTCCGTTAGTAATTGCAGGAATATGCTAAACACCCTATGCGGAATGCGCGCATAACAATTTAAAATGGAACCGTATTAGAAAATTATGCAATACACCCCAGAATGAATGTGTATGGACCTGTAAATCCAATAAAATACCATTACGTGGTACCTTCCGATATCCTGGACATTGTAATTACTAAAAAATATTACAAATACTTAGAAGTAACACAGGAACTATGCTACCTGTTAAATTCGCTTTGCTTGGGTTTTGACAAACACAGCAAAACCCCAGCGTATAATAAATTGGGAAAATTCAGGACTATTATAAATATAACAAACGGAAACTCCAGTCTCAGCGATATTGTGGAAATCGAAAATGAATTGCATTAAAATCAATACCAAAATTAGAGACTCAATTAATGCAGCAACAAGAGTTAAAGAAAGCAGCGAAAATCTTGAAGAAATATGAGAAACATCTTGAAGAAAATATGAGACAAAAATAGACTAACCAAGCATTGGAGAAACACAGGAACTCCAGCATTAAAAAGAATGCTTAACCAAGTAAGTCCGAGAAATCTCCAAATTCTTCAGCGAATACAAATCGAACAAATGGGATGAACCCCTTTAAAATGTTCAGTATGAGCCAAATTTAACTTGGAAGATAGCGAGAGCACTAAAAAAACACGCACAGAGAGAACTGGACCTTTAAACACACGAACCGAGCTAGTTTATTCAGAAAAAGCTATAGCGGAAATCATGAGTAAGACTTAAATTAAATATTAAAGCAAATCCAAGTTTTGACTCGGAAAACAGAAAAAGAAGTACAGGAATTCACTAAAAATGAACCATGCTTTGCCCTCACGGAAGTGAAGAAAATTATTAAAAACATTAAAGTGAGAAAGGCACAAGGATTTTATTTATTACCCAACAAGTCAATAAAAGAGCTTTCCTGGAGGTATGATGCTTTAATTTCAACAAATTAATTCTTACCTCAGAATGAATTATTTCCCATAGAACAGTGCGGGTTCCTCCGAGGACACAGTTTAATACATCAGCTAATAAATGTTACTGAATTCAGAGAAGACGCTTTCACATACACAAAAAAACACACATAGTTGGTAATTGACTATTCTTCGGATAACGTTTGATAAGGTATGACATGACAGCCTCCTTTTCAAACTGAAGACTGCTAATAAAGTACAAGTTAGTGCTTCTAGTAAACTACATGAAATTATTCAGATCATACTTAAAGAACCGAACATTTCAAGTGAGAATTGGGAATAAACTTTCGAAGAGAAAAATTATTAGAGGCGTGGTCCAGGGAAGTGCACTAAGACCAGTATTGTGTAGAAGCTACATTAATAGTATGCCAGAGCCTTTAAATTCAAAAGCAGTCAAACACGCTGACGACACCATAATCCTAACAAAATCACTGAAGCCGCATCTCGCCATTGAAAAATTGCAAACAGAATAAACTTTGAAATACACTTTAAGGATTCAAATTAAAACCCAGTAAGTGCAATATAACAATATTCATAAGATATAAAAAAATAACAATTAACATATATATAAAATTTTAGCACGTTCAGATTCCAGTTAACAATAGAATTAAATACTTAGGTGTGCTTCGATGAACAACTATTGTTTAAAGAGCAGGGAATGAACGCACTACGCAAAGAAAATGCTGTAGTAATTGTACTAAATCCACTAATCGGAAGAAATTCAAAGCTAGAAATTAGAAAGACGAGAACAATATATATAACACTAATTAGGCCCATTTTGCTATTATGCTGTACCTGACTCGGCAACCGTCGGGAAAACTCAAATGAAACAAATTAAAGTTTTTCAAAATAAAACCTTTAGAAAAATAATTAATACATTATAGTTTCTAAGAAACAATCAAAATTACAAAGAACTGAAAAGAGAAAATATTCATAATCAAATCCTTATTAAAAGCCCCAATATCTTTAAAAAAAAATGGAATATTCAGAATACAAGCATGTTAGGGAAATGGGGCAATCACGTGATGGCACGACCTTACAGTAGAAAATGCGATTAAGAAGCTAAGATACACCAAAATTCGAAATGATAAATGTGTGAAATCCTCAAATATTCATGAGTAAATGCCTGACAAAGCAGATTAGTCTTTAACTGTAATTAATGAAAACCTGGTAAAACAGATAGTAAATAGTTTTTGATTCGATTTCGTATACATATCAGAAGATTCCAAATACAGTGTGTCAAGATTGTGTTCTTACTCAGCAAAGCGAGTTTGAGACTTTGCAAAATTACTTGACAAAGTAGGCTGTAGACTTAGTTTTAAATATATGTTATCGCTAAAGTGCGGAAATCAGTTATTCTGCAGGTTACCTAGATAATCTGCAGATTAAGTGGGGTGATCCGTTAAGTGCGAAAAACTGTTTCATTTCTTAAATTACCTAGGTAATCCGCAAATTACTTACATAATCTACACATTACCTACTGGATACTCGTTAAAGTGAAACTATGATCTTTGTTGGAACAAAAGTAATGTGCCTGTATCTGTTCGCTTAAATTTGCATAATATTATTTATTTATTTTTCGATACCTAAAAAAAAATAAATTACTACAATCAAACAATCAACAAATTAGTCCATAGAATCAGTCATCAAACAATTAAAAAACTATAACACAAAGAATAAAACGGTTTAAAATAAGCGTGCAGGAATGTTGCTGTTGTTCCAGAAAAGATCATATTTTCAGTTTAACGAGCGCCTAAAAGGCAATATGCAGATTAACAAGTGCCTAGTAGGTAATGTGTAATGTGAAGGGAAAGAAAATAAGAACTTTTGAATTTTAATGATAGAAAAGCTGTTAATGTGCATATTACCTTAGTAAAATGCGGAAAACTCTCGATTTCGCACTTTAACGGAGCAAATCAGTTAATCTGCAGATTAGCCAGATGATGTGCACCTTAACGTCTTTCGAGCTTTAGCGGTAACATATATATAAATCTTCAACTATAATTATCGAATAATATAAACATGTAGCAAATAAGTCTATTAGTATTCGCGCATTCCATTAGAGTATGATATTTCAAACAGAGTTATGTGATAAAGTTTCTTCTGTGAGTTTCCTTGTAAATGGCTAAGCCCCATGCTTGAACAGCACAGTTAAAATCAATAGAATCGGAAAGATCAACTCATCGGCATGGCCACTATTTTAGAGTGCTTTTAGTTTCAATCAAAAACCAATACTTTAGGGCGGAAGCTTTAAGCATGGGTTAAAGCAATTTTTCTGTACAGCAAGCACCATCACGATCAGCGATCAACAGTCAAAGAATCTAAAGAATTACAATTATCCATTTGATTCTGGGAATTATTTTCCAAATTTTTTTGAACTCTTACCTTTGCAGGTTTCAGTTCTACTTTAACCCTTTCTACTTCAGCTGTTTTAGCTCAATTTGCTTTCTTTATTAGTTTTGCAATACCCGTCAACTATTTTAACGCAGGCTTATTCTCGAAAATCAGAAGTGCGGAAGCCTTACGGAACTCCATCAGGAAAGAAAAATAAAACAATAAATAAAAACAAATAAATAAAATTAGTATTAAAATAACAAAAAGTAATAATTAAAACAATAAATAATTAAAATTCAGTAAAATATAGAGAGAAACAAAAAATTTAATAAATTATTAAATTAATAGTTAAATAGTAAAATAAATATATTATATTATTTTAAAGGATTATTAAAAAAGAAAGACCATTCTTTTTCCAGCACACCAATGAAAAAACGCAAAACGGTTAAAACACCACTAATACGAATAGAGAGAGCGCTAGATACAGTTACAGAGTATTGGAAGGGAATTTGGTTCTCCAATCCTTTCGTCAAAAAAATGACGGTTCGCTTAATTTCCATTACCTTTGTCTCTTGCCGAAGGAGAGTATTTTTACCCCTTCCTCCACTCTCCCCTCAATCTCAGTCTCACGTGTCAGAAGGGGATAGCGAGATGGATTTGGTTTATTTGATTATTGCAAAGCATGCTAGGGCTATCTGCTTAAGGGCAGGCATGTCTGCGAGAAGGATCTTCTAAGGAAAACTGGCTCGAAATCACGTTAAATATGGGGAAAAACACGAAAACGTCCATGCAGCCAGCCTCCTCGCCTGGAATCGAACAGTTAGATTTCAGCGATATTACCGCTCAGCTGCTTTTGTCTTCTTGGGAGGGGGGGGGCGAGATGTTACTCTGTTTGCCCTTATATCTATTAATTCCTACCCCTATTTGCACATCAGAAGCTTATACCAACAGTGATTAGTAAATTATTTTTTAAAACGAATTTCGGTTAATGATTGCTAAACCTTCTTTATTAACTTCTTTCTTTTAATGCGCTTTTTAATTTTAATTTAGATATTTATTTTATTTACATATCAAACACAATTTTAGATCGCAAGCAATAACAATAAAGACATCTACTTATTATGTTAGTTAAATTTATGTAATAAAATTATCATTTTCATGAAGTAAACTTCCACATACATAAAACAATGCTTACTTTTCTGCAATAATAAGACATTATTTGTTTTTCATTCGCATCTTCTCTCTTTTTTTAATATTAAATATGTCTGGTGCAGATATTTCGGGAATGATTATTTTAGATACTTAGTGGAGGGTGGGAAGATAATGAACTTTTTAATTAGTGCAATGTAGTATTTTTTGAGCATCGCAAATTAATAACGCAAAGGGGGAAAATTCTTTTTACCAAACAAATATGATTTTGTTTAGAACTTTTAATAATGAATTAGGATGCTAAGAATTTCTTTCCATTTGTCTGAGTTTAAAGCAATAATATTTGGCAAATCCTTGCTTTGGAGCTGTTTGCATATTTCCATGAGAAGTAACTTTTTCTTAACCGAAAGACTCGCTACTTGGAATTTTCTACGTAAGTGAAAATGTGTCAGTTTCCGATAAAGAACATCCCTTGAAGACAACTCTGTTGCTATGCTGACAGTTTAAGTGTGTTCTGCAATTTATCAAAACCCAGCCCTGTCAAAAATACGACAATTTAATTAAAATTCCGTTTGATATTAAACATCGAATCGGATTTCTCATTTGTCTTTTCAATCATTATCGTATTATTTCTTTATCCCTGAAATAAATAGAATAAAACGTTTCCTTTTCAGGCTGTGAGGTATCTTCTCCTTAGAGCATGCCTTCGATGTGCAACGGTAGCACACTCGGCGCGTATTCCAGGTTCGAGTCCCGGCGAAGGCATTGCACATTTTTCTCATCTCCCGCTTCAAAATGACCTAATGACTCTAAAAGACTGTTCAGTCTCACCTCCCTGATATATGAACTGTAAAATGTAGAAAATGCCTCCAGAGGGCAGTGCTGTGCAAAAAAGGAAAACCCAGAGTGTGTTCTCGCTCTGGGGAAGTGAGAGTTCCCGCCGTTGTGGCTAAAGTGTTGAAATAATTATAGAGATGTGAAATAAAGCTGCAGTACTAACTTAAAGTGTTTTCGAGTTATTGAGAAGTTGTGATTTATAATATGAACTTTCATGGTCCGTCCAGCCGGAGTTAGAAACGAATCATCGACATCTAAATTGTGAGTTCGTGAAAAAGAAAGTGTGCTCTTCTTCCGAAACGATTGTGTTGTGTAACCTGTGTTCATAATAATGGAAGAAAAAATTAATTCATTAAAACGTGAAAAAGCTACCCTAATGGGTAAAATCACCCGTTTAGAAACCTTTGTAGAATCGGTGGTTGAACCGATAAGTGAAGATATTATAACCGAATAAGAAGTAAAATTAGAAACTGTGTGCATCGTCAAAGATGTATAGCTGAATTACAAAAGGATTATTTCAAATTGCCTGTAAAGTGTATATTAGTGAAGCAGAATCGGATTTAGAAGAGATGGAGATTCGTCTGGAAAAAATCGAAGATCAAAAACATTCTTACATAAATTAAATGTGAAACTTTCTGTGAAAAGTACTCAGAATGAACAGGGTAAAATAAGTGTTGATAATTGTTCTAAATAAAATAGCCCCAGATGTTAAAGCTTCCAAAATTGAGCTTACCTACATTTACTGGTATGTTTATGAATGGATAACTTTTAATGATTTATTTAAGGCTGCTGCGCATAACAACGATAATTTGTCATGGAGTTTAGCCCTAATATATATAACTAAAATTATGACAATTAAAAGAAAGCATATTTAGTTTTAGGAAAGAAAGCTAATTCTTGTATTCTTCCCAGAATTAAAAAAAGAATTTTACTAAGAGTTGTTCGTGGCTGCAGAACAGTTAGCTACGCTGCCTGTTTAGCAATTGCAGGGCTCCCCGCGATTGATCTTCGTGTTTTGCATAACAAAGAGTTTAAAGATAACATCAGCAAACTTATACTCAATATCAAAATGATGTTTGAGAATCTTCCTCACCTACTGATCGTTTGCAAATTTGTAACTCTCTTTCGCTTTTCTTGTATTGTCTTGGCATATATTATGGACATTGCCTAGAGTACGGTAGACTGAGGTTTCCTTCGAGAAACCGAACTGATTTTTGTGCAGTGTTCTGGCTGCGAACAGACTGTAGTTCAGGTACCACAGGATCAGTTTTGTAAAGAGCTTGTTTATGGAAGGAAGAAAGTCGACCTTTAGGAACCAGGATCATCATGGTTTCTGCTTGCTTTCAAAAAGCAGTACGGCATCAGCGGAGCATTACTTACCACTATTCCGTCTGGGTGGTATAGATTTTATGAAACAGTAAAGCATGTAAGTCAGAAACACTACTGATATCTTAATCAGGCAGTATGAAATTTTCTGAAAGAGAAATATATTCGCAGAAAATAATAATATCAGAACTATGGATTAGAATTCGAAAAATATGTTAGAGCCTTTAAATTAACAATCCAATATTAGCTGTCTTGCTAATTTATAACAGAAATTTATAACTAGAAACAAGGAAATAATCTCTACTTCTCCTAACTTCTTCCTCTTCAAATCTTGAGGAAATGCAGGCTCACTCAGCATTTTAACAGTCTGTAGAAAATTAACGTAGAAAATAATTTTAGCCATGACTTTGAAATAAAAAGGCTAGTACCGTATTCTTAATGAGGTATTAAATATATCTCTAGTTTTAAAAGAAACATACGCTATGAAATGAATCTGAATTTCTTACCAGTTAATAGACTCGAAATCCACACGCAGCACAATACAGCTACAACTCTTTCGCATTTCATTTTGAGATCTAAAATAAAGTTCAGAGATAACGCAAAATGTGCTCTTATATTACCCATAGAAAACACATACAGTAATAAAAAAAAGAGCAGATGGTAATTACTTTAAATAAAGATTACCTCGTGGAATAGTTTATGTCTATTAGATATTACTTCCGGGAGTATCTCCGTTCCCCCCTTCTTTCTTATCCTCTCCTTCCTTTGTATCTCAGGTATTTTACTTGCTCAAGGACGTAAAGGGCAGACGAAAGATTTACAAAATTTCCTTCATGATTTGATATCGAAGCACGCACGTGGATGTCTTCAGCAAAATAAAATTTGCATAATTTACTTCGCAGAGAATTAAGCAAAATCAAGATCGCAGCTATCTTATCTATTATGAATTCTATTGATCTTTCCTTTCACTTCACTCTTCAAAATTGATTTTCACAACTATTTATCTTTTCTTGATATTTGGTTTCAACACTGAAGTCAACTATTTGCCTTGCTAATCCGTAGCAGATTTTGTCAACTCTCTAAACAGAAGGAAAAGGGGGGAAGAGAGAGAGGGAGTCTTATTTTTATTATACTATTTTTAGTTATTAATTCTTTTAATTTATTTATTAAGTTTTAGCTTTCATTCAAAAGCTGCTCATAAATAAATTTATAGAAAGTGCGGTCAGTATTAGTTGGTATTGACACAGCTTTCTCTCTTCCTTTGACTGACAAAGATTCCAGAGATTTTACTTCTTGTGGTTATAACTGTATTCTCTGCCAAAACGTTCAAAACTGATGGTCCTCTTTAGAATATCTCAAAAATAATCATATTTCTCATTACATAGCTTCCAAATGATTTTTTCTTCCTGATAATGAAATTTCATGAATTTATCTTTAACCTCTCGATTACAGTTGGTCAGTTTCTGTGTATATGAATGATGGTTTAAATATGTGTTCAACATCTGGGAACAAAACTTTCTTTTTTCTGATGTTTAACCAATAGTTACAAATAGTGCGTTATTTCAAATTATTTTTCCTCTTTGTATTTCCACTCGTTGGGTAACCTATGGACCAAATTTGAAGTTACCTATGAACCAAATATGAACTCAACCTGTAGACCAAATAGGAAGTTCAAATAATAATATTATTATTCAAAAAGTTATTTTAAACACATTTTTCAGTAAAATATTTACCAAATTCCTTAAGTGAATAAAAGTTAACACAGCCATAACTAAACATTTCTTTATCTGAGGAAAGAAAAAGGCTTTTATATTCAGAAAAAAAATCTAGTTTAAAAATGGATATTTTTGATAATTCAGTGAAAATAACAGGTAAATTTGAAAAGCACAAATAGAAGTGCAATTGATATTACACAATACTGAAGTCTGTAGACACAATACCGAAGTCTGCACTCGTTTGACTAAATGAAGGCTTTACATATTTTTTATTACTTTACGTTTTCTGAATCTTCTTTTATCACCAGCAACTATCTCTGGCAACTTGAAGAGTACTCTTTATTTAGATATGAATGAAGAAACTGTATGCGGGACTTATCTTCAAAAGATTTTGCACCTTTCCAGAATTATGGCAAGTCTTAAAACTACGTTATTTTTGTTCGGACAGTATTCCTGTATCTTTTGTATCATTCAAATATTAAGTCACAGGTAACTTGATCTAAATCCAACGGTATTAATTTTTCACCAGGTAGAAATTGAAAACCGAAAATTTATAAAGAAATGATTTTAATATAATGGATTATCATAATACAAGTTCGGTAAAAAAAATTTTATGAAATGAAATTACAAAATGTAGAAATTTTAGAGAATAATATTTAGACCAACTTAAAATGCTATTTAAAATAACACTTATTTTGAATATCATAATTGGTGATGTTCTATTTCATTCTCTCTCCGATCATCGGAAAGATTTTTTTTGGGGGGGGGCACTTGCCATTTTAGGCTTTGGCCATTACTAAGGGCAGAAACAGTGGTCATTTTATTATGGAGGTACTTATAGGTAGCTATTGTCACCTTCTATGAAGGGACAAGCAATTTGCATCCATGCCTTCTCTGGGATTCGAACCCAGACCCTTCGGTATGGCAGTCAGAATCACTGAATACTTTCTCATTTGGGCGACCCGATCATCAATGACAGTCCAATTTCAGCCAAAAATGCGCCTTCCTTCCACTTCACTAAAAGAGTACATATTCCCCTTCTTTAAGTTATCCATATGCATAATCCAGTTATATGGAAGTTCCGATATCCGATTTCTACAGTTTGCTTGCTCATTTGGTTATCGCAAGCTAAACTTGGTTTAATAATTAACACTACTTTTCCCTTCGGAGAAGACAATCTACATATTCTTTATTTTGTATTATTTTAAACAAAATTGCTCGGTACAAAAGGTATATACTAACTCATTTGGATTTTACTGTTTAAATATTAAATTGTGATCTAAACTGCAAAGGGCAAAAATTTTATTCTTTGCACTCTAAATCTCGCAGAGTGGGATTTGGAGGGTGACCGAAGTTTTCGCTCCGTTTCGTGTCAAAAAACGCAAATTTACTGTCTTGGTAGCAGAACATGTTTCCCACTTGCAATAATAACCTTGGGGAAGGGAGTGAATTGAAGGAGCAGACGACCCCATGTCTTGCCATTGTCCGCCCAGACTGACCAAACAAGTTTGCTAAGTCAAAGAAGTTCTTTGGCTAAGCGAGGACAGTCGTAATAATGGATACAGCTCCTTTGCCAAAAGTAAGTTCGCTTTTAAATATATATACAATTATTTCTTATATAAATATCTTAATTATTATAAATTATAGTTAGATTATGTGTCAAAATTTAAGTATGTAATAAAAAGTAGTTTTAGTTTGCTCTTTTTTTTTTTAGGTGTCTGTAAATTTGCTTTAAGAGTAGCTTCATTTAAATTGCTTTAAGAGTAGCTGTAACGTAGTTTATTTATTATGTATTGTAACACAATGAAAGCTGTACGTATGGATCGTACTTTTGTAAATAATATAACATTATTTTTATTTTTGAACAATTTACGCAAAGCTTATCGAATTTAATTATTTAAATTTAGTTTTGCATGCATTCCTATTTCAAATAGGAAGAACAGCGGTGGAAAAAAAAAATGCAAACTAAAGTGATTTTTTTTATAACACAAGTGTGTAAATTATTTGGTAGTATTGGAAGAAATAAAAACGTTATACTTTACTGAATTTCCTATTGAAGTCATATCGTTTTCAACTTCTAGTAGTTTTTAATAGATTTTTAACTTTCATTTTTTATAAATTCGCTTATAGTTTGTGACAATAAAATTCACTTACTGTTAAAAGCTGAATTTTTCCAAAATATAAATACTAGCACTACCTGGGTCATATCAGCATTCTAAAAACTTATATTTTGCAAATATGTTGTTATTCTCGAGAGTGTAGGTGTAGCTAAGGCCTATTGAACATTCAAAAGTCCGGGAGGCCAATAAAGCTGATTAAGACGGCTTTCCGTTTACGATTTAAAAAAAATCTTGCATTCTTTAAAAAGACTGAAAGCTTTCAGATTTTAAATTACGTCCAAAGGGGCGTTTTTTTAACATTTTGTGTGTGTTACCTTTATTTATTAAATATCAGGTTCTTCGCACTTAAATAAAAACATTAATTAACCATAAAAACATTCAAAATTAAATCATAAAACATCAACAGCAATATCGCAAAATAATTTTAAAATGAACATATCTTTAGAAAATTTTTTTTTTTTTTTTTTACTCGTACAGTCTTGCCATTGCTCGCTTTGAAATCGTTTACTTTGTTAATCAAAAATTCGTTGAAGTATTACAAAATATTAAATAATAAAGCAAATAATAAAACCCAATTTCAAATTCAAATTAGGGCTTAACATGCCCATATTCTATGGAAGATTACCTTATTCAAATTTTGTTGGCTCTAGGTACCGTTGTTTTATTACAATGCGAGAAACATACATACATTATGCAGATTCTTCATTATTTAATTTCTTTAAATATAATGTTTGGTGGCAGCAATTTGAAATGAAACATATCGGGAATCGATGGCAAAATGCCTAAACAACGAAATTAACAGTCCTTCTGGGAGAATTGCTCCTTTGGACTAAAAAAAAACCCAGCTATTTAAAAAAAAATAGTAAGTTTTGATTTTCTGATGACAAACTGAAAACTATTGTATTATTAAATATTCCAGGTAATTCATGCAGATAACTATTTAATGAGAATTCATTTTCAGTCAAAGACCAAGCATAAAATTTTAGTATCTTCTCCATTTACATAGGTTCTATATTCCTATACTTGTGCCACAGCAAATTGTCAAATTTATCTGCCTCTTATCTTTTTTTTAAACTGTAGCACAATAAAATTTTTTTTTTTTTTTTTTTTTTTTTTTTTTCAGGAGGGATTACATGATAGTTCAAAATTATCAGATTTTTATAACTGCTAGAAATTCCCGAAGATGCTGTTAATGTCCTAAAAGGTAATTTTATTTTCTACTCTGTTTTAAATTAAAAACTATACCTAGTCCGGATTTTTGAAAATTCCAGATATTCAGTTGACTTATGCTATATACATGTATTTATTTTATGCTAAATATGTATTTACTGACAAATATACGTATATGCCAATATATAATATGTACACCAAATGTTTATTTCTTTTAATGCAAATAAGAAAATTAAAAAAACAGTATTTATTTTTAAAAAATGTGTAAGGCATGTTTTTTCAAACTTAATTAAATAGTAAAATTCGTACATGTCTAAACATTTTTATTTCAACTGAAACAAAACGACATTTTTATATGTAAGCCATAAAACCTAAATGTTTGATGCATTTTTATTTTATAATATGAAAATTAAGCAATATTGCCTTATATTTGTGGCAGCGCCTATCATATTTAAAAAATTAACTTATTTTATTAACAGATAATAAAATGCACAATTAAAAAACAGCTTCTCCTCCCTTCTATTGCGGGAGAAAACCTAATTCGACGGGTTATTTTTATTTATTTATTTCCCCCTAAGAAAACTTGTCAGGCATACTTTCAAAATTGTCGAAATATATACTAATTTAAACATGATAATTCTAAAATGATTCATAGATTAATTCATATACATCAACTCAATAGTTAGAAAGTTAAACTAATGACATTTACTTATTACTTTTCAAGATTATTGCCTTTTCATTTCAATTAGTTATTATATCTTCTCCTAGTGATATTAAAATGAGTGAGAGGATCTGATGAAGTAATGTTCAAAATAATATAATTGTTTACATTAGCAAAAGCTATTGTTGTATCAAACAAGTCTTATAAACCTTTTCTTATGCACAGTCCTTTAAAGTAGGAAAGAAATGTAAGTAATCTGATTTTAATAAACTCATATGAATTCATTTTCTGGTTTAGATAGGATTTAAAGACCCAGGTAACACAGCTTGTTTACAATTTTCAATAACTAAGTTTTTATGTGAACACTTAGTTCAGAGGTGTAGCCAGAGTTCTTGCTGCCTCGCTCAGTGCACAATAAAAAGTCTATAAAATGTCAAAGTGATATATATAAAAACAAAATATCTGGGTTTATTTTTGAAATAAAACATTAATTATAATACCGTAAAGTATTATAATTAATGTTTGAAAATCAGTATGGTACAAGTACTATTTTGTTGTTTTCCTATACAACAAAATCATTAATAGTATTCTTGAAAGTTTGATTTACTTACTCTATCAGCTGATTTGTAGACAGTATGGTACAATTTTATCAGTCTTAGGTGTTTTTTAATCCATTTGTACTTTGCAAAAGTCTTCTTCGCAACAGTCATGAAAAAAATTTACAGATGTATAATCAGTATTTGGAACTGCATTCTAGAAATTTTATAAACTGCAGAAGTTCAAAGTTACCATCCTTCCACCTCTCTGTTTCATCTTCGAAAATACTAACCGCAAAGAATCCAGTAAATGTAAACGCTGCAAAAGCACGTTTGTTACAGTATATCCCTGCGCCCGGGAACAGATGCCCCTTGCCCCCCCTCTAGCTACGCCCCTGCGCTCATTTTAATTTATGTGCCCTAAATACCATGTTTAACAGGCTGTTTACTTACAAATGCTTAATATCATGCTTTTTAATGCACATTCCCTAAATATTACCCACCAGCGGCAAAGTCGCTGAGCACTGGTAGTTCGGTCCAGAGTTTGAATCGCATGAAGGAGCTGGCTGCATGGACTTTTTTGTGGTTTTCTCCATGTGTGTAACGTGTATACGAACCAGTTTGCCTTACAAAGACCTCCACGGAGGCATCCTTCCCATTAGGCAGATTTTTGATGGCATGTCAGCAACTAAAGGACAAATAAAGGCTTTGAAAAGCTGTCAGAATTTTATCGAACCTGTCGAAATTATGCTTGGCAGTAGATTGGATCAAGCTCTGAATACAAAAACAGGTCAATTTGAAACCAAAATTGTAAAAAGAAACATTTCAGTATGTTTCAGTCATAAAAACAATTGAAATGGTTTTGTCTAATAGCCATGTAAGAAATTATATCGAAACTGAAACAATTTCTAATGATAGACATTTTAAAAACAGTTTTCATCTTTTTATGTCCCAAGAATTTTGAAATATGTGGAAAACAAAACGCCCTGATCTTCTGGTACCAAGTATTGCTGATTTCAGTGGTAAAAATCTTTAAAAATTTAACTAGGATTATAAATGATAGAATTTAATTAGGATTATAAATGATAGAATACTTTAAAACTTTTCTTTGTTTACTTTTAATTTACTTACCTAGAGTAAAGTAATTTTGCATCTATTACTCACATTGGTCTTTATTCTTAAATGGCTTATAGTTTTTTTCTTCTGGCTCGTAAAGGTAAGCTGTAATGCATGTGCCTCTAGTGCCAAAGGCCTTTTTAATGATATTTTTGTAATCATTATGTAATAAACGTGTATATATATATATAGATATAGATGACCTAAAAGCATTAGTTTTGCTCACAGAACTTTTGCTCAGCTAAAATTATTGGAAAGAAAGAGGGACAAAGGTTTTATTCATTATTAATGAGTAAATATTTGGCATAAGTCTATGCATAAAAAATAATTTCATATGCTTAGCTATAAAATTCTTTTCATAGGATAATATTTTTAGTTTGCAGTGTATGTATATGTAAATAAGCTATTGATACTATATGTAAGTGAGCTGAGCTGCATATACTTTGAAATTTGCTACATATTCTATCTTGAAAGGTTCATGTGTGATATTTATATAGTTTCAATTAATTATTACATTTCACATGCAATTTTTATCCAGTATATGTCTTTTATATATACTTTTATTTTTATTTTTGTAGGGTAAAGGCAAAGCAAGTATTTTAGCATCAGGCTGTTATTTGAAAAAAAAAAAAAAAAAAAAAAAAAAAATCCAAATTCTGCACTTCTAATATTTGCTAAATGTAAGTATTGAGGAATTTTGATATGCTTTGCACTAACTTTCATTTTAAGAGGGCAGATTATATTAAAATGAGCCATTTTACAACAGCAGTGAATGTATTTGGCCTCATGTGGCTAAAATTCATCTTCTCAGGCTGCTTTCGACTATTGTACCCACAGATGATGCATGGTCATTTAGCTAATTTCTGTAGAATTGGAATTGCATTGATTTGAATGTCACCTACATACTAGCAAATATTTCGAGAGAATAAGATGGTTTGTATATGTGTGATGCCTTTATATGATCTAAATCTAAAGCATGACACTAATCATATATGCATGTATATACAGTGAACATAGATTTTTTTTTTTTTTAACTTGTAAAGTGATGGAAAAATTGCTTCAAGGTGAAATTCAAAATATACACTTCCAGCCAGACTATAGCGATCATGAAATCAAGAACAAACATCTTACAATAACAATAGTTTATTATGAACAACAATAGTTTATTATGAAGGGATGATACTTGTTTTCATAAGGAAAAGACAGACTAATTCTCCATATAGTTTGTTCTTTTTACATTTTTATGTACATTATTTATTACATTTTTCATTAAGAAGCAACGCACAAATAGACTATCCTATTCTATATTTGCATCAATATAATATTTACATATTCCTATATGTATTTATACTGCATTTTTACAGAAACTAAAAGCAAAAGACCTCTATGTGAATAAAATTACTAGGAATTACTTATTTTTGAAAGAAGAAAAAATTTTCTGGCGATATTTTTTAATTGGAAAGATAAACTTTCTAGTATGGCTCATTGGTATTTGACTTGTCCTAATAGATAGGTAATGGATGTATTCTTAATAAAGAAATTTATTTTCAGGGAATAGAAGACATGGAATCTCTTGGACCAGCGCAGAATCAGAATAAAAGATTAGAACAGTAATCATGTAACTTGAGAGACTTGGATACTTGAGAGACTTGGAATTGGAGTTAACATATATAAAAATATGTTATAGTTTATAAGTTTATTACAATTATTCACCTATAATGTTTCTCAAAAGCAAAAAGGGTTGTAAGCTAACTATTTTATTCAAATTTAATTTTAAGCTCTTCAGTAAAAGAACATCAGTGTGCTTAAATTCATTTTATATTAAAGCAGATAACAAGTTAATAGCCCAAATCATGCCATGAAGGCATTTGACATTCTATTTAAAACTAATTTTGTATTTAGCGTTCAATATGCACATACATCAACAAATTTTTATAATTTTGTTGGCAAGCCTTTTGTATAATGTCAGCACTCCTAGAGCTTGTGTGGACTCTTTAAATACATGTTTGAGCAACATAGCTGTTGAAAAAATTTATTGCATTTTGTACATGCATTACATTTCATGTTTTAATGTCATTTTATTGTCATATTTTTTCATATTTTCCATTATATATATGTACAATATATTTCCTAATAAAGAGTTTTTCATGCATTGCTTTGTTTTCACTTTATATTTTAAAATTACTTTGTTCATTGAAATTATTATAATTCTGCAGTTATGGTAATGATTCCTATTCGGATTTAATCAATAAATGAAATACATAATTTTCAGCAGAATTATGAAAAATGAATTTTTAGCTTACACATGTGAGCTATAATCCATATTATTTCACTTTAAAATTTACTTTATTTTTTCCCAAATGAGACTTGGAATTAGCATATATAAAAATAAGTTATAGTCTAAAAGTATATGTAAGCATTTATTCACCTGTAATGATTAATGTATAGAAATTTGTATGCATATAACTTCTCAAAAATAGAAAGCGTAACAAGCTAACTGAAGATTTTAGACTTTATATTCATAATTTGGGGGTAATAATTAATTTTAAGCTCTTCATAATTATGTAATAAGAAATAGAAACATTTCTTTTGCAATATTTTGTGCAATATATGAAGCTAAAAACAATAGCATGAGAGTATTTTTATGGTTACTTATTATCTCATACATTGAAAATAAAGCTGAATAGTTTTCATGTAAGGGAAATTAAATTCGCATTTGTTTCTTACTTCAATGTATATTAAAATTTATTATTCGATTTTTTATGCATATTATACTCAAGTAGACAAACTACTAGTAACATCAATTCACAAATTGTATTAATATATTCACTTATAAGTAGCATTTTAAGAAGTTAAATCTATCAGATTATGATACAGGTTTACTGACACATATATATATGATCAGCTGTTCTAACACATTCAAATTTTCATTATAAAATTTGTCAAGAACTATTTTTAATAAATTACTTTTCCAACTAGTATGATTATTTAATGGAAAATTTAGCTTACAATTTACATGATTACGTGCCCAAATCTTGTGAATAAGCATAATTTGCTTTTTTAAATTAAAATATGTATACAAAATTTAGAATGTATATCACTATATATATATATGATTCATCTAAAATGATTTTTTTAAATTTCTTTTATGAAACTAAGCATTTTTTGATTTCTCAAATCAAATTTTGAAAATATCTGAAATATTTATTCAAAGTTTTAAGTACCTGAAAAACCTTATTTTTTATTCAAAAACTAAGTTTTTCATTGCGAATATCTTGCTATTCCAGTTTTTATATATAAGTTGCATTGACGTTCTTATTTTTATTGCTTACTACACATAAAGGTAAAAGCCATGTTTCTGTAAAATAAAATATATTCTGTGAGTTCAAAGTAATTTCACATCAGAAGTACTGTGAGGAAGTGATAGTGTTAAGTATTTCAGAATGTTAACTACACCGAATTTCCAATATTTTAATATGGATGTAATTATTTTATATGTATATTTCGTTAGATTTGGAAAGAAAAACTATATGTCTAAACATGAATGATAGATACATTGTCTTTAAACTGTGTTTTTTTTTTTCAGTGATGGTCTACTTGATTCATAATCCAGTTTTTATATATAAGTTGCATTGACGTTCTTATTTTTATTGCTTACTACACATAAAGGCAAAAGCCATGTTTCTGTAAAATAAAATATATTCTGTGAGAAAGTGATAGTGTTAAGTATTTTTCAGAATGTTAACTACACCGAATTTCCAATATTTGAAATATGGATGTAATTTTTTTATATGTATATTTCGTTAGATCTGGAAAGAAATCTCATCACCAATAAATGTTTAAGTAAGTACATAGGTAAGCCAAATCTAAAACAGATGTATATATCAGATAATTAAAATCACAATAGCATGTTAAAAAGTAGTGTAAAAATATTCTTTTCAAGAGATAATATTAACCAGATATCTAAAACAAACATCAGCTATAAAGTTTACATAGCAAATACCATTTTCAGTTTGCCTATAAAATAATTATATAAAAATCGCACCATCAAGGAGTGAGAAGACTATTATTATAACTCCTTGTAATGTGTGTGGTTTCACCCGAATATCGGGCGATATCTGACTATCGAAGAAGAGCGAACGAAGAAAGAGTCACTCCTGTTTTTGTGTGAAAAGGGACCGCTTTTTACTAGAGTGAAATATCGCTCCTTCAAGGTTGGTGCCATTTTGTCATTAGAGGGAGGTGGGATATCACTCCTTTAGAGTCGGATAGGACTCTTTCGAATTTAGAGTGTGTAATTTAAAAAAGTCCTTTAAACAAAATTTAGTTAATACTAAAATACTGAAATTTACAAATAACTTCTTTTCTTAATAATTTTCAAAAGTAATTAGCATATTCAGCTAGCTTAAAATTTATGTTTTTGACATATTCAAAAGAGAGACGAAGAGAAAAGCAAAATTTTGAAATTATAAGTTTTGAGCGGGGTTGTTCTATTTAATTTTTGGGCTATTTCAGAAAATTAAATTTTGCAACAGGTATTAAAAAAGTTATTTCATTGATATGTACTATGACTTCTAATTATTATTTAAAAATAAAATGAAATAGCAAGCATAAAGAATATAGCAAATCTTTAGATATTGATCAGTTAGTTAAGTCTTATCCATGGATGTTTCTAATATTAGTGAGTGGTTAAATCTATAGAGATATATTGAAATGACTAAAAAAGAATGATTGTGTAGATTAAACTTTCTTTTCTTTTCGCCATCTGTAGAATAGCTGGTCCACTGGGTTAGACACTTATAAACCTGTTGAATCCCGTCAATGGAATTTAAAAAAACCTAGAGTTTAGTGCTATGTCCCCCGGGATTTGACTATGTAAAACTGAAGAATACTGAAAGAAGAGCCGGAATATGGAGAGAAAGTGCATGGCGGGGACACTGTTATTTAGGTTAAGTGAGAAATGTGGATATTAACTTGAGTACTGGAAAGTTGCTGTTACTTGCAAGGAGGTATTTAACATTGTCCAGTCCAATGTGCTTGCAACTGTATGTAGTGATTCCAAAATTGCGTAGATGAAAACAGTGGAACTTTTAACAGTTTAGATACTGCGTAGATGACCGAGAAGACTGTAGTGGCTTGAAGATGGCAGTGTGGAAAGCAAGATGACGCAATTTAGCACATCGTATCTTGAAAAATCACAATCTTTATTATTTTACGTATATCAAACCATTCTTTTGCAGATAAGATGTTTCCTAATTATAATTATTGAATACAGTAAGTTCCAATTTGGAGTACGACGTTATCTTATGCAAGTAAGCAGCAGCATACATGAAAAGCGTCTTGCCGGCAGGAGAGCTTATGCGGAAAAGGGAAGAGTATCATAGATATTCAGAGGAAGAAAAGTGGAAATCGGAAAAGTTTCAGTTCTGAGTTTTGGTTTACAATTTGATTGGACAAGAGGTATGTGCATTAAAATATTACGTAATATTGAAAAGTCTGGGACTACAGAACTTTAAAGCATCAAATGGTTGGTTAGAAAAATTTAAGCAACGATATAATATTACTTTTAAAACTATTTATGGTGAAGAAAAATCAATAAGTGTACAACATGTAACAGATTGGATAAAAAAGCTAAATGAAATCTATGA